CACCAGTCTGATAATAAGAGACCTGCTGCTTTATACTGCCCTGTACCACATCTGTTTACTCAGCACCAGGCACAGCTCTAGGGTGATGGAGAGTGAAACTGATATGCCCTCATTTAACAGATGAGTAAATTGATAGCAGTGACCATAAAAGACTAGAATTTGTCAAATAGTTACCCTGTACAAGTGCATGTGTAAGCATTATCTCATTGAAATCTTGCAACAGTCCTGATTATCCCCATTTCCACAGGAGGAAACTAACGCTCAGAGAGGTTGAGGGATGTCCAGGGCCACACAGCAAGGATGAGAATTCATATCCAGAAAGTTTTGACTCCAAGCATAGCACTCTTCATGCCCAGGGTTATAGGTAGTGGAGATGGCAAGAGTAATGAAGAGTAAGAGAGAAATTGCCCTTTAACAACTAAGTACATGCACTGATAGGAGAAGCATGGGCAGCAATGGGAGATCAGATGTGATTCTTGCCCAGCCTAGGAATGGAGTCACAGAAGGCTCCCTGGAAGAGGTGAGATGTAAGCCAGGATGTGAAGCATCAATGATAGGCTTCCTGCGACTCAATTGTGATTTAGAGATGAAAGAAATGAACAAGAGCAAGACAAAGGAATGAAGTTACTTTGCTGTATCGTATCAAACGGAGAGCTCCCAGAACAAAGCAGCTGGCTATGTTCCCAGCATTGTGCTGGCACGTGGTAGGTGCTCAGTAAATGTTCAGCTGAATAAATGCACGAACCCAAAGGTGGAATTCACTTCCTTTACCACTTATCAGTATTCTTGGAGGTTTATCGGTTTTGAGAAGTGAGACCTTGGAAAGGGGATGATTGGTTGATCCAATAAAATACGTAGGGAGGCGGGGACTTGCCCATGGCCAAAATAGGTTAAGGGAAATTGACTTCCCAGCAGGAGTCCACAGGCTATTTTCTGCCAATCCTTTCCCTGAGTTATTTGTGAAATATTATTGAGCATCTGCTGTGTGCCATGCCCTGTTCTAGGACTTTGCTTTAAGAATTAAAAAAATGTTTTTTGTGCCTTGTTCACCTTGATCAGTTAGGAAAACAAACTACACTGGATATTTCAGCAGAAAGAATTTAATACAGGAATTGGCCAAGCAGGTATTTGAGGACCGTTATTTACTTAAGATATATTTTCAACTGTGTTTAAAAAGAGTCTTACTCTTTACAAATTTATTGTAAAAGGAAATGTGTATTTCCATTTTAAATAGAAAGCCAATATCCTCTGCCTTATGTGAAAGTAGAGAGCCATTAACTGGGCTTTCAAACAAGGTCGTGAAACCCTGTGCAGCCCTGTGGTCCGGGAGACTGAGCCAGAGGCTGCTCTCTTAGCTGGAAGAGAGAGGTGCTAAAGAGAGCGGGGTACGTGTGGAGGCTTTTTTTTCAGGACTTTATCAGAAGAATTTAAAGGGAATCACTGTTCAGGGAGTGATTTCTAAGGCGGCGTTCAGTGGGCGTGCTTCAGGCTCAGCCCCTCCCACCAGCAGCCTTGGCCCTCCCCTACCCCCCCCCCAACTGACCTGTCACCTCCAGGGGCACCAGATCCTGCTCATCATCGATGCCCTTCACCACCTGGCAGCGGTAGAGCCCCGAGTCGCTGGCTCTCAGCGGCCCCAACAGCAGCGTCGCATTGGCCCGGTGCCGGGGGTAGGCAGGCAGTGACACGCGTCCCTGCCAGTCCTTGGCCACTCGAACCACATTGTCCTTGGCCACCAGGATGGGCAAGTCCTGCCGCTGACCTGATGCGGTCCGCACCTTGGTCCACTTGACTCGAGGGGCTTCCCGGGCTGCACCCAGCCATGGCTGCAGGGTGAAGAGACAGGGAAGAGCCACCAGCTCTGCCAGTGCAGCCCGGACCGACCCAGACCCCACCTTCTGCATGCGGAGCCCCTTCTCGGTGGTTGCCGCTGCAGTGGTGGCGTCCTGTGTGCCTGCAGTGGAGAAGGCAGAGAGAGGGCCTGACTCAAAGGCAGGATCAGCACAGACTGCTATTTCCCTCCCTTTACAGATATGGAGGCTGAGCCTGGAGAGGTTAGGCTGTCTACACAACATAATGCAGCGTACAGATCATTGATCTGCATCCCAATCTGTGAGCAGAAGAGAAGTCATGGGGTCAGATCCTCTCACGGTTCTGCCTCCACTTGAAGTGCAGACCCTGGAGGCCAGGGATTTGACTCTGTCCCTCACTCACTGTGTGGCATGGGAAAAGTCACGTTCCTCCTCTGAGCCATAGTCTCTCCAAAAGTTAAGTGAGAGGCAGCCACTGGAAAGGAGATGGTGTTTGTGGAGCACCTTCTATGATTTTCATAACCACCTGTAGCCATGTCTCATCCTTTTTTGGACGGGGTTGAGGAAACTGAGGACCAGAGACGTCATTTTGCTTGCCTGTGAGCAAACTGTACTTGGCCCACAGAGCAAACCAGGAGACATTTCTAAAGCCGGGGCTTTTGACCACCCCTGGAGAGACTCCAGAGAAAGGCTTTCTAGACCTTTATTGCTAGTGCCCCACCCGTGGCAGGCATCACTAATCAATCTCTGCATGATTCTCTTTTTCTTCTCTTTCTTTAGCTCATCTCAGCAAAACAGTGAGAGGCGGGAATCTCCAGCCTCCACTGGCAATGACTAAAAATAACCTTTCAGGTGCTTTGTTCTCTTTTGACTGTTCAAAAACCTTTTTCATCTATTCTCATTTTATTTTCTAGACCAAGGTGGGTAACCAGCAGGATAAGGCTTGCAAGTTTAAAAGCTACCCCATCTTGTCAGTCCCCCAGAATCAAACCTCTCCCACCCAGTAAGCCAACTCACCCTGCTCCCCTGCCACAAAGAGCAGCATCTGGAGTATGAGGAGGCCCAAGGCCCAGACAGATGTGGCCCCCATCCTGGACCTGGAATGAGACGGAGAGGGAGGGGGAAGAAGAGCGGTGAATACAACCCCCACTCCCAGAGAACAGACATGGAAGGACCAAGTCCCCCCACTCTACAGATATGGAAACTGGGGTTTACAGAGGCTGGTATGTCACTCAAAGTCACACAGTCAGCAAGCAAGAGCTGAGCCAGGATCCAAGCCCAGGACCAGCTGACTTCAGAATCCCAACAGTAAAGTCTCATGGTCAGAAGCATGATGCTGGAGTGAATCAGACCTGGGGTTGCCCCTCTGCCTGTGTCTTGCTGTGTGACCTTGGACAAGTAGCTTAGCCTGTCTGTGCCTCACTTTCTTTGTAGGTCAGATGGGGATAAAATCTAGTAGTCAGAAGGAATAGATGAGTCCAGACAGTCAGTACACTTAAAATGCTTACAGCTGCCTAGGATGAAGGAGTAAATTTCAGCTGTTGTTATTATTACTGGCCTTAATACAGCCAAGATCAAAATCCCATTTTTTAGCTTCACCTCCCCAATCAGACTCAGGGCTCCTAGAGGGCAGCAGCCAGTTCCAGTCTGCCCAGGGTCACCAGTCCTAGCAGCAGGCTGGCTTCCAAGCCAGTTTTTAATCTGGGTCAGCTGACTGACACGATTCTCAGATTCAATTCCAGGATTTGGTTGTTGCTAAGATTCTATTCTTGGTTTCTGGGATTTTTAAGGAGCTGCCAAGACCCAGCTGAAGGAAGGGGCCTCACCCCTGCCCACCCCATCCTCCCCCTGACTTCACACTGCCTGGCAAAGATGCCTCCTGGTCACACAGAAACTCCAGGTGCCTGTCCAGTCTTCTGTAGGGGTTGTGGCCCAGGGGCATAAACTAGATAATTGTTGAGAGCCGACTGTAAGCAAGGCCTGTTCCAGGAACTGGAACACAGCAGGGGTCTCCCAGACCTCACATTATTCCCTTTGGGAGTGGCCCATCCCCAAAGCCTCCCATCCCTCTGGATACACCCCCACAATGGGGCTCAGGAGGTGGGGCCAGAGGGGAAGTTAGAGCATCACCTAGAAACCCAGTTATTGCACCCTCACCCCAATAAAAGAATAGCCTTGAGAAGGGGAGAGTATGGATAGTCCAGAGGCCCTCAGTGCCCATTCCCAGCTGCCAGTGGCTCCTGCAGAGAGGGACCTGTCCGTGGTGCTGAACTCTGGGGCAGGAACTCGCCTTCTTGGTCTCCTTGCCTTCTTTGGTAGCACCCAGGGGCCCAGAGAGGGTTAGTGGTTTGCCTGGAGCTGCACAGCAGGGCAGAGGCCAGGCCTGGAATGTGCCCCCAGCTACCAATTTGTAAACCTCAGCAACCTCTGTCTCCATCCCAGGCTCTCTTGATTTCTCGCCCTTGGAACCCTGAGCAAGTGTGGGGCCCCCTGATGGCTGTTCAAGTCCTGGCTGGGTATGACGGTTGAGCAGGACTCTGGGTATTAGAGGGTGGGGCAGGAGAGCTTTAAGAGGGGGTGAAAGAGGGGGTGAGTTCAGAGAATTCTCACACGCACACATACAATACACACACACAGTGTATTGTTAAGAGCTCAGGCTACATCCAGATAATCTAGCTTTAAGCCCTGCCTCTACTTCCTACACATTTCATGACCGTAGACAGGCTGCTTCATCACTCTGTGCCTCAGTTTCCTCACCTGTAAAATGGGGATCACCCAGACCATACCTCATAGGGTTATAGTGAGGACAGAACGAGCTGAGACTTATGAAGTCCCAGAAATGTTAAATTTAAAAAAAAAAACAGCTTTTTGTACCCAGAACCTCATGTACACATCCAAATACACAGAGAGGGCCCAATATAATGACAGACACAGCTTCAGGTGCACCGCCCCCACGCGCACAAGTCCTCCCACACGCACTAGATCCCTTCCTCTTGCACTCTCACACACTGACACCTCTTCTCTTAAAATACCTCCTTCCCAGGGCCACCAGAGGTGAGCATTTACACAGCTGTCTGGGGCCCGTCCCTCATGAATAATGCATGAGCCTCATGCATATGCAAGCAGGGGCCAACAGGGCTTGGGAGGAGGGGCTGCCTGAAAGGAAAGTGTGTGTGTGTGTGTGTGTGTGTCCCTCTCCTTCACACCCACCTCTTGTCTCAGTGGGCACTGAATAAAGATGAGTTTGCCAGCAGGCTTTTTTATATGTTTGCACCCGGGTGTGCACCAGGTGCTGTATCCAGGCAAGGATATCCATGTCCATGAGGTTGCACCTGTGATGTGTGGATGTATGCATGGGTCCGCAGCAGCTTTGTGTACTGTGTGACGCGTAGGGGACCTAGTGTGATTTCTGGATGTGTAGGGTCCAGGTGCCCCTCGGCAGGGGCTGTAAGCACATGTTTTTGTTTCTGGCCTGAGAGTTAGGGCATATTTGTGTGCATGGGTGTGAACATAAAACTCTTCAGAGAAAGGAAGCCAGGCTCAGCAAATCATCCCAGTCTGCCCTTTAGGGACCTGAGCCGCCTGCCAACATTTCCCTCATTAGCTCCTTCTGACTCTGCACACAGACTACATC